ACTAAACCTCAGGTCTTACGAACGGAGTAGAAGTCTTTTCTCCGCAAAGAAGATGAAAGAGATATGCTACTGACTTGAGAGAAGTGGAAGCTCTGGTTCCTTGCAGGTGTGCCTCTTGACCCCATAGAAATTCAATAGAATCAGCTGGAGCTTGAGCTCCGTGCTTTTGTTTACGACACCTCTGTTGCATTTCAAGAAACTGTTCTTGATTTTACATAATGCGCTATATATATATATAATGCCCTGTGAATAATCAAGCCTATATTCTTTAGAGAATATATCTCTTCCTCTTCAAAAAGATACAAGAGCAGCCCTATTGATATTGCACGCTAGCCAACAGCAATGTAGAAGTTTGACAAGAAATTTGCTCTAGAAATGGTTTTAAGATAGGTGAGATCAACCACTACTATACCAAACCATTAAATAGATGGGTTTCCCCATATGGAAATCTGAATACCTGACATTAATTCGGGTTATATGGATTGTAACGAATCCTAGATTTCCATATGAAAATGTTATTTGGTTTGCCCAATGAATTTCGTGCATTTCATTTCTATACCCTGAGAACAGCTTGAAGCAACATACTCTAAGATATGTCTACTTGACTTAGAAGCCTTGAACGTGTGTTCCAAACCACAAAGCCCCTTTCGAAACAAGTGGGAATACCATTGTACCGCCAAACCACTGGATCACTGAACGATTGAACCATTAAACCAATGGTTTTCCCCATATGGAAATCCAGTAACCATTAAACCATTAAACCAATAAACCATTGAGCCAGAAAACCATTAAACCAATAAAACATTAAACCAACAAACCATCAAACCAATAAACCAATGGTTTCCCCATATGGAAATCCAGTGAATCATTATACCAATAAACCATTAAATCAATAAACCATTAAACCAATAAGCTATTAAACCATTAGACCGTTAAACCAATGGTTTTCCCCATATGGAAACCTCTTAAACCATTGAACCAATAAACCATTACACCATTAAACCAATAATTCATTAAACCAATAAACCCATAGACCATGAAACCAATAAACTAATAGACCATTAAACCGTTAAACCATTAAATGAATGGTTTTCCCCATATGGGAATCAAGTGAACCATTGAACCATAAAACCATTTCTGGGTTTCCATATGGGTGAAACCTTAGTGGTTTAATGGTTTATTGGTTGATTAGTTTAATGATTTATTGGTTTATTGGTTTAGTGGTTTATTGGTATAATGGTTCACTGGATTTCCATATGGGGAAACCATTGGTTTAATGGTTTATTGGTTTAATGGTTTATTGGTTTACTGGTTTATTGGTTTCATGGTTTATTGGTTTAATGGTTTTCCCCACGTCTTTCGAAACAACCCCCAGAATTCGAAACACACAACATCACCGTTACAACTGATATTATATAATGGAATGCATGCCGTATAACATTATGTTTGTAGCACATACTATATACTAGGATACATGTTGTACATATGCTTTAAAGGACGGTGCGCGAAATTCAGGGGGGGATACCCCTCTACCCATATACATATATATATATACATATATTCTGGAGCCTCTAGCTCATAGCCCCAAGCTCTTTCTCCTCTTCTCCGAAACCTAACTCTTCCTCTGTTAGGTATACCCGTATACCCATATGTGGGCAAATTATAGACTCACGCTTCTGGGCTTGCTCAAGTTGAATTTGAAAGTTTCTGACGACATTTGAATTCCTTCAAGGAGAATGTTGCACGTACAAACACACTTACGAATCTGATACAAAAAGGACATCAAAATACCTTGCCATCATGATCATGTAAAAATGGGCCTGTAGTGCGTCCCGTTCTGTATATATATATATATATAGTGCTAATGTATTGAGGTACAAGATATACATATATATGTATACATGTGTATATATACATATATAGGAATAATTTCGTTCGTGTCCCCCGCAGTTGCTCTGCAATACTCTTGTGACGGCACATTTTTTGCAACACGGACGTCATTTTGTTTTGGACATGGATGCTCTAAAGACCGTATGCTCTTGGAACACGCACGTTATTATGGTTTGGACATGGATGCTCTGGTGACCGTATGCTCTTGGAACACGAAACGTGATAATGGTTTGGGCATGGATGATCTGGTGACCGTATGCTCATGAAACACGAACGTGATTATGCCTTGGGCGTGGATGCTCTGGTGACCGTCTGCTCGTCATCGTCATCATCATCATCATCATCATCATGGCCATCATCATCATCGTCATCATCATCATCATCCGGGAACCCATTGGGGGACGCGAATAGAACTATACCCGCATATACATGTATATATATATACAGGTATATATATATGTATATAGAGAGTGTGTTTGTTTGTGTGATATAAATCCCTTCATACAAAATTTGAACACCCCCCCTAACCCATGATATAAAATATTCCCCATAAGAGACCCTTTATATTGGGCGTGATACTCAATACCAGGGGCGGGCGGGGGGTGTTTAATGTTAGAATGAAGGGAGTCCTGCTATTTCAAAAAGACTTTGTTAGCTAGAAAGCGGCAGGCTTCAGCCTTATCATCCCAACCCTGATCCCTAAACTGGGTTGCTGTTAAGGAACTTAAACTAAGTTACCAGATTCTGGTTATACAGTACATAATGGGGTTTCCTTATTCATTGTAGTAACTGAATTTAGGTTCCTGAATGGCAACCCAGTAAACTGGTTGGAAAGAAAGTTCTGTTCGTGTCGGTAGTGAGAGCAAGACTTAAAGCAGTGCTTTGCTATCCTCGCTGTGTAGTAAGCTTGAAATTGAGTTCTTAGAGAACTGAACACTCCAGCCTTTAAATCCCACGGCTTGAGCAAGCGTAGACCATAGTCCATGAAGCTCTTACCTGCACTTCCCAAATTATGCAGAACCACGTCCTTTTTTGACTGTTGTCGTAGGGATGTGGGACCATCAGTTTACACATTACCAAGCTCTTCAAGCTCAATCATAGGTTTCAGTTTCTGAGAGAACACAACCTTGGACCAGGAAGCGTTGTTGGCTGCGACCGACATGGACCTTCCCTACATCAGCGTGAAGTAGCGGGGTCAGATTGAGTCACCACCTCCCCTTACTAGCAACCTTCCCAATGTGTACCATTACATATCAGGGGGTTGTATTACAAGGATGGAGGGGTTCGCCTCAGGCTTGCAGGAGTTTTATGGGCCATGTTTGCTGGAACAAGTTTCAACTTTCGTGCTTCTGGTCTACAGTCTTGGCGCGGGGAAAATATTGTTTGTCAAGTAGTTGTTTGCATTCTAGAAGTGGAGTATACGTGCGTTTGTCAGCATGATCCTTGCAAAATGCTCAAGGGGGCCACCTTTTCTTAGAAACCTCCTGTAGCCGCCGTTTGGGGAACTGCCAAAGTAGTCCGAGTCCGCGTCGCCAATAACCAAAATGAATCTGATGGTGAACATATTCCAGAGCGAAAATCAGTATACAATGCAAGAATGTTTTGTTATGTGCGAGGTGAAGGCTGAGATTTGGTGGACGTGACAGGGCTGCGCCATTTTTTGCGTATGGCGATGGTGGACACCACAACCAGTAATGGTGACTATAAGTAAGGGATAATAGGCCTTCTTTATCCGTCGTACCATTACGAACCTAAACCCTAAACCGTTGTATACCGCTATTACAGGGTGCGGGGTCCACCTAAGGTACGGTCGCAGCATCTTGAGCAACGACAGCTGCCCCGACTGGGACAGACTGAAACTTTCTGTTGCGGGTTAGAGCGCGAAGGGTTTAGGGTTGAGAGTTTAGGGTTTAGGCTTTAGAGGGCAGGGTTTTGGGGTTTCAGATGGTTTAGAATGTTTAGAGGCCACCGCCCGGAGACACTTAACGGCCTAGGGTCAGAGCTTCAGGCCGACTTCTCGCTACCGGCCTGGTAGGGTCTTGACGCTACAGATGGAGGCCTCAAATGCAGCTCTACAATCATCAAATCTGACCCTTCAGCCCGCACCACCCCTGCTCCTGCCACAGCCCCCGCCGCCACACAAAAAATCCTCGCAACCCCCAAGCCGCAAAATCCCGCAAGCAGTAAGCACGCAGAAATTCTCAATCCTACACACAACAGCTTATCAATAACGGACCCTACACCCTAAAGCCCAACTCAACGACAGACAACTAAACCCTAACCTTCCCCAATCCAACATAGAACCTCAAATAGCCCCCTGCTCAAAGGAGTGTAGTTTTGATACAATTTATTGGTGTGCTTTCAGTCTAGGGGGCAGGACAAGTTGATTCTGCGCCAAGCGGTGTGGCGAAACGTGCCTTTAGCCATGGTGAAATTGCACCTGGCCTTTTTTGATGGGTTCCCCTACATACCACCCCACCCTATACTACTTCCCCCTATGTTCCCCCTGAATTAACCTAAATTAGGAAGAATTGTCCTTTGATAGCGACCTAGGGGTGTAGTAGGAGAATGCATAATCACTGATACCGTTGCTGGCGTGAGCTTCAGGGCCTTCGGTCTTGTATCCCTGCGTCACAAAACTTGGATTGGGGTCGCTTAGCAAGCCTCAGTGATCATATTTATACAAGCTGTGCAAGGGCCTCTGGTTTTCCCAACCGATTTACTAATCCTCGCATATCCTCGCCATCTTAGTTTCGGAGGCAACTTTCAGTCATTAGAAAGCCTGGGCGAGTTGTGTACCCAAGAGCAGCGTGTAGTTTCCATGCTCTTCTCCACTTTCCAGAAGCATAGACCCTAAACCTTAAATAAGTAGCTTTCATTGTTGGTAGTTCTGCTTGTGCTTCAGCGGGGTCGCTTCACAAGGTAGCGGATCGTGTGACATGGCAATAGGCAGCCAAAATCCTAAACCTACATGTCACCTGCCTACTTCGTGTGGCTGCAAGTCTAGGGCTTCAGGGAGCGTCGGCGGAAAAAAGGGGCGTGCAGATCCCTCTAACTATATTGTGGGGTGGAAACAAGCAAGGTTCCTTGCCAGTCGGGCACTGCTGGAGATGCCTTTGTGTCAGTTGGCAGTGGTAACCAACTGGCTCCCCATCGGAATGAAGCTCGACAACTATGACCAGCGCGTGGTGTACAAGAAGTTTGATGACTGGACCCAGTTTCAGGGCATCAAAGAACTGCAGGAAGAAACTGCGGACCAGACCCGAGCCGCCGCCAGATCCCTGATCCAGGCATACCTGCCTTTGGAACATATCCTGTGGAAAGCAGGCGAGTGTCAGAAGTCTGATTGGAGGGCCGGTGAGTCGCAAGGCGAGCGCGGGATCACCTTCAGGCTAGAGGTCCCACAGAGTCGCACTGGCGGACTCTTAGGCGACGGGGACCTCATGGCCACAACAGTGATACTTGGCAGGACATGGAGGCAGCGCTTGCTACTGCATGGCTCCAGCCTGCTCTCCTTTGTCCGGGCAGCGGTTGTCCGTGCAGCAGAGCTTCAGAAAGGCAAGGCGGTCAAGGAAGCTGCCGACCTTGTCATGGGAGGTGTGACCTGGGAGCGAGTGGTTGATGCAGCTTTTGCGTTGGAGGCGAAGGTTTCTGAGACATATAGCAGTGACAGGTTGTATCCAGTCCAATCAAGGGATGGATGGATGACGGGCCTGTGCAAAACAGCCTTCTTGCTACTTGCGTCATGCAACCCGCTTGTGAAAGCCATCGCTCATGCTCGGCAAGTGCGAAAATTTTCCCACTACCTGGCGCTGGCAGCCCATGCCGCCATTGACTTGTGGATGCTGCTTACAGCAGTGCTCCTCTGGTCCATTGCAACCGGTGCAGGGGCCTTAGATGGCACTGTCAGAGATTGCATGGACAAATTCATTCAGTCAGTGGCAAAGACGCTCGGTTGTTTTGCAATCATATCTTTGAGTTTCTATACCCGGGCCCGATACAGACTACTGTTGATATGTTGTGCAGTATCTCCACGCTGAACCCTGTATCCTCGGCATTTAAGGAGTCTTGGGCCTGCAGAAGGTGAATTGCTCGCGGATTTTGCGCTTCACGCCTGTCCTTCTTCGTCACCTCCAGGTTGGGTTTCTCCAAATACCGTTGATGGACAAAATCCAGCATGACCCCGAGCAGACCCTAAACACGCCACAATGCTATATTTTCCAAATTCCTTGATTTGAGGAAGCCACATCCCCATGCAGGGCTCCTTTTTTGATAGTTACTGAGGAAGCCTGAAAAGTTACCAATATGATTGATCTAGATTCCTGGCACAGCTATGGTATAGGTTAGCTCCAACGGACCTCAAGATTACATTGATAATTGTTCAGGCTTCTACGTTCCGTTTTATAAATATACTTATATACATATTTACATATATATATATATATGGTCACTCCCCCCCATGATCTACCTCTATGTTTTTCTTCTGTATGAAAATGCTGCAAAACACTGCAAATACCGATGACTTTGCTGTCTGGAAGATTTGCTTGTTCACCATCAAAACTACTCTAGGTTTTCTTCTGTTTTATCAGCTATGCAGCATTCACAGATACAGAATTTATAAGGCTGGAAGCAGCTTCGAATTCCAGGAATCCAGGAATCAATGATTTTGTTATTCGTTTTATTCGAATTTAATAAGGAATTTACAAGGCCCGAAGCAGCTTCGAAATCCAGGAACGCAGGAATCCAGGATTTCACTATTAGTTTTAACTAAATTTTAACAAGGAATATATAAGGCCCGAAGTTCCCGAAGCAGCTGCAAAATTACCAGAAAATCACAAAATCAAAATTGTTCTCGTAAATCTTTGGATTCACTGAAAAAGTTGGATTTTTCATTTCCTCAGGTTGTTGAAAACATTGTATTTCCTAGTTGTTTTTTCTTTTTGTAATTTTCCTGAAAATCCAAAAACCGAGGAAATACAAGGTTTCTGGACTACGGAAACCTAGAATCATTGTATTTCCTATATGTTTTTGCATTTTCAGGAAATTCCAAAAGCTTAGGAGATACAAGGTTTTCAGGTCACCAGATACAAAAATCCAAATTCTTCAATCGGAAAACTTGGAAAAACTCACAAAATCCAAAAAGTACTTCACAGGAAATCCGAAAAATCCAACTTTTTCAGTGAATCGTTTTTGGGTTTGCATAGAAATCCATGAGTCCAGGAATCGAATATTTCGCTATTAGTTTTACTACAACTTCATAAGGAATTTATAAGGCCAGAAGCAGCTTCCAAATTCAGGAATATAGCAATCCATTATTTTACTAGTAGCTTTATTGAACGTGTATGTGGATTCTGAAGACACACGCATATTCGCACTACAAGGAACTGCTTATCAGGAATCCAAGAACCCAGGATTTTATTCTCAATAAGCCATGTACAAGGCCGGAAGCAGCTACATTTAATAGGGAATGTATAAAGCCGGAAGTAGTTTGGAAATCCAGGAACCCAGGAATTTCATAAAGAATTGTTAAGGCCGGAAGCAGCTTCGAAATTCAGAATTCCAGCAAATCCAGGATTTTGCTGTTTTCCTAATGAATTCTAAAATTGAATTAAAAAGCCAAAGGCAGATTCGTACTATAAAAGAAAATATCAGGATTTGAAAGCGTATCAAAAAATTGTGACTTATCATTGCGTAGCATAATTGATTCCAAATACTGTGACTTGTAACTTTATATTGTAGTATTTTCCAAATAAAGAAAAGGATAATAAATGATGAAGACCTCTTCCCAAACTGTAACTCCAGGATTCCAAGATTCCCCTCTGCCTTCTTGGAATATTTGAGAATCAAGTAAGCTAACCCACAAAACAATCTCCAAAGCCAGAATTCCCAGATTCCAAGATTTCTCTTCGTTTCCTAAGTGGATTTTAAACGGAGTTTATACAAAACAAAGCCACCTCCAACAGTAGAATTCTAGGATCCCAAGATTTCTCCTTAATTCCTGGGTGGATTTTAAAAGGAAATTCTCTAAAACAAAGCCACCTCCAGAACTAGACTTCCATGATTTCAAGATTTCTCTTCAATTCCTAATTTGACTTCAAAGGAATTTATATAAAGCAAAGCCACCTGCGAAAGTAGAATTGCAGCGGGCCAAGTTTCTCTGTAATTTCTAATTGATTTTTAAAAGGATATATATATATATATAAACCAAAGCCACCTGCAAAGGAAGAGTTGCAGGATTCCAAATTTTCTCTTTAACTTCTAACTGGATTTTAAAATGAATTTCTATTTAAAAAAGCCACCACCCAAAACTAGAATTCTAGAATTCCAAGATTCCTTTTTGCTTTCTAATAAGGCGTTGAAACAATTTGTATAAAGCAAGGCCGCCTCCAAAACTAGAATTCCAGGATTCGAAGATTTCGTTTTAATTCCTAATTGGATTTGAAATAGAAATCATCTAAAGCAAAGCTACATCCAAAATCAGAATTCCAGGATATCAGGTTTCCAGGATTTCTGTTTAATTCCCAATTGGATTTTAAGAGGAATTTATATTAAGCAAGGCCACCTCCAAAACCAGAATTCCGTGAATTCCGTGATTCCAAAAGATCTCTTTCTTATTCCAACTTAAATTGTAAAGAGGATTTATATACAAGAATTCTAGGATTCCAACATTCTCTTCAATTCCTAATTGGATTTTAAAGGAGTCTATAGTCATGGGGACCTGTTCGAAACCCACCGACCCACCAAAAGGTAGATCATGGGGGG